TTGCTTAATTAATTAACATAACATGCTTGTGAATCGTCATGATTAGCACAGGGAATTGAGTGATGGGAGATGAAGTTTCCAACTCAAGTGTTATTGTAACAATACCAATGTTTTTTCAAATCAACATTGGACTTCTACTAAGAAAAACAATGAGAAAACTTTTAGCTGAATAACCTTTTTTTTTTCAATTTTGCAGCTGGATGCTTTGGATTTATGCCATAGTGTGCATCTTCGTGAACATCCACGGTAGCTTCTCTTGAGAATTATAGACGTGTATATTGTTAGTGTCTTTAATCAATTTCCTCATATTTTTAAGTTTATAAATTTGCAGGTCTGAATATATACTTCTGGCTATCATTTATCCCTGCAATTGTATGTATATTCTAATTTGTTATTTTAACTAATCAAAATGAAGAAGTCCATCGAAAGTTTTTTTCATCAAGGTCTGATTTCTCTATACGTAAAAGCTTGTCATGTTGATAGGGGCAAAGCTTCAACATGTTGTATCAACCTTAGCACTTGAAATTATGGAGCAGAGAGGTCCGTTTCCCAGGACACAAGTAAAGCCACGCGATGACCTATTTTGGTTCAAAAAACCAGATATACTGTTATGGCTGATACAATTTGTCATATTTCAGGTAAGAATAGATACACTTTATAGCCAGGTCATGCTGCATGGTTGTGTTTTCTGTTCTTATTTTCTCTACTGTTCACGCAGAATGCATTCGAAATGGCAACCTTTATTTGGACACTGGTAAGTAAGACTTCAGTTTTCCAAGATTGTATACGTGACTCACAGCATGCTTTTGTTAGATGAATTATCTTGGTTTTGTTTGTTCAGTGGGGATTTCAAGAAAAATCGTGCTTCATGAGAAATCATTACATGATCATCATTCGGTTGGCATCTGGGTTGGTTTCGTCCTCTTTCAAGATTTTTTTTTTGTTCTACTTTCTCGACCAACTTTCTGGATTCTGCACTACTTCAATATGCAGGCACACTCACATGTTATTATTTTTAATCTTGCAGTGCTATTGTTCAGTTCTGGTGTAGCTATATGACAGTGCCACTGAATATAATAGTTTGTCAGGTTGACATAATACTCACTATTAAGTTCTTAACAAAATATGTAATGTACATATTGTATTCTATATTAAAGGAAATGTTTTTGATAACTCATTTCAGATGGGATCTCGATGTAAGAAGGCCTTAGTGGCGGAGAGTGTTAGAGAGTCCCTGCATAGTTGGTGTAAAAGAGTGAAACACAAGTCTAAGCATGATTCGTTGCATTCACACACGGCAAGATCAGTATGCTCCCTCGAATCAACAATCGATGAGAGGGACGAAATAACAGTGGCATCTGGTACTCTTACTCGAAGCTCTTCTTTAGCCTCTTTGAATCAGATAACAGTGAGTTCAGTAGACCAGCTGAACTTCGAGACTCCCAACAAAGCAAAAGATTCAATCAAGGTGGCTGGATGTTTGTCTGAATCTGTACATACGAATCCCCCACAACCGTCCCACAACGTTGAAGATCGTGTCGGTAATGGAGAGGAAGCAAAAGCTATCACTCTCCTTGATTTGTTTCAG